AGAGGTACAACCCTACGGAGGACAGCTGGGAGTTTGTGGCGCCGATGGCTGACAAGCGGATAAACTTCGGCGTCGGCGTGACCCACGGGTTTTTGTTCGTGGTGGGGGGGCACAACGGCATGCAGCACCTCAACACCATCGAGAGATACGACCCATACAGCGACCAGTGGGCAGCCTGCACACCCATGGAAACACCCAGTACAGGTGAGCACACCCATGGAAACACCCAGTACAGGTAAGCACACCCATGGAAACACCCAGTACAGGTGAGCACACGTACCTGCACACCCATGAAAACACCCAGTACAGGTGAGCACATGTACCTGCACACCCATGAAAACACCCAGTACAGGTGAGCACACCCATGGAAACACCCAGTACAGGTGAGCACACCCATGGAAACACCCAGTACAGGTGAGCACACGTACCTGCACACCCATGGAAACACCCAGTACAGGTGAGCACACCCATGGAAACACCCAGTACAGGTGAGCACACCCATGGAAACACCCAGTACAGGTGAGCACACCCATGGAAACACCCAGTACAGGTGAGCACACCCATGGAAACACCCAGTACAGGTGAGCACCCAGTACAGGTGAGCACACCCATGGAAACACCCAGTACAGGTGAGCACACATACCTGCATGGATAATGGTTTGCTGAAATTTGTTATGTTAGAAAATGGTTGATCTCTTTTGGGGAAACCTTTTTGGTACATGTTTTGTAACTGGACACAATCGTGTATCCTTTCCCCTTTGGGAATCCTTCATAGAATTAGTTCCTTTATAGAAAGTTTTTATTTACATAGAATAATGTAATACTTTTGTAGATTGTTAAGCTACCTTATATGTTAACGTAATGTTTTGTCATGTCTTGTCAGCAGGACAAGCCCTTTGTAATAGCCACTGGCTAGTTGGGCTGTCCTGGCTGTGAGGGTTGAACAGCCTAACCGTTAAATAAAAGTATCGTCCTCTCCCCTCCCCCCATGTTGAGTTAAGGAAGAATTCCTGAAATTTGTTGTCTTTAATAAATGATTGATTTAATCATGCTTCTGTTTTCTTATCCTTCTCCTTACCCCCTCCCATGCCTGCCATGTACATTTTGTATGTGGAAAATTGTAATAAAATATCCTTTTGCCCCCCCCCCCCAGGTCTAGGTGTAGCAGTTCTGAACGGGCACCTGTACGTGGCCGGGGGTCACTCTGGGTCGGCGTACCTGCAGCAGGTGCTTCAGTATGACCCCGTGGAGGACACCTGGGCAGCCGGACCCCCCATGAACGCCGCCAGGTGCAACTTCGGCCTCGCCGCACTCTGACAGCGGAATCTGCTCGGCCGCGAGATTACACGTCCGGGCGAGATTAGTACGTGTTAACAGGGAGCCACACGTCCGGACGTGATTAGTACGTGTTAACAGGGAGCCACACGTCCGGGCGAGATTAGTACGTGTTAACAGGGAGCCACACGTCCGGGCGAGATTAGTACATGTTAACAGGGAGCCACGCGTCCGGGCGAGATTAGTACGTGTTAACAGGGAGCCACACGTCCGGGCGAGATTAGTACGTGTTAACAGGGAGCCACAGGTTCGGATGTGGACTGGAGATTGCACTAAGAAGGCCAGCAGTTTCTCTGGACTGTCCTGGAAGCATAATAAGTATAAACTTTGTCTGACGGCGGAATCGTCTTGTCCGTGAGATTACGTGTCCGCACAGACCACAGGGAGAGCCACAGGGTCAGATGTGGACAGGAGATTGTACAACAGTTTCTCTGGACTGTCCTAGAAGCATGACTTTGGAAGGAAGTGACAAGATGCAGAGTTAGCTCGAGAATAGTCGTGGTTCTACCAGTGTGCTGACTGAAACGGTCGGGACCTAGCAGTCAGAGACGTGGTGTTTCTGCAGTACGGCGGTGACGGTACCTACCTCCGGGACAAGTCATGCAGTATTCGTGCTGATTTTGCCAGCCTTAAACTTAAGGGTCTTATCAAGCTTTTAAAGGGCCATGTGGTAATTATATATAATTTCTGTCCATTCAGGCTGAGGACTGTCTGAATTGTACTGCCTGTACTGCTGTGGAACTGTAATAGATACTCCGACAATGATATTTTCGTAGAGCACCTTCAGTCAAATTGGGACTTAGCAAATACACTCGGCCAACAAACGGTCAATCTGCAGTCAGGTTTCCGACAGGAACAGTGGGAAAACTTAGAAACTGTAGCTTTTATTCCTCAGCCTAATATAATAATAGACTAAGTTCATGTTTTAGCAATTTTCAGGCTCAGCTTAATTCTCAGTGTCCATGACAGCTTGACTGTGTTAACTGATTCCTCTCAATGGTGAAGAGTACCGGTACATCAGGGATCAAAATTCATGTCTGGGAATAGGTGCACTGGTGCACCCATCCTAAAATATTAGGTGCATACAAAAAATTTTGGGTGCACCATATAGAACAAAAACTAATTATAACTAGAAAGGCCAATATTTGCTTTGGAGCAAATACAGCGATGGGTTCACCACATTTTACGACATGGCAGGGAAAGAATGAGAAACACAAGGGAAAACAATGATTTACATTGATATAACTATAATATGAAGTAAAATACAACTAAAACAACAGTTGGATAGCTATTCCCTACTTTATTGGTTAGGATTTTTAATTGCATAATGCAAACTGTTGATTTTCAAAAAAAAAAAAAAAACGTCCATGCCCGGCATTCCAATGCTGGAGCAGGAAAGCTTGAAATACCTACCAAAACACTTGAATACAGACATACTGTCAGTATGGAAATGCTTCTGTGCAGGTGTTAATCAAGTTAAATCCCAACAGCCAATCAGCAAGAAGTATAGAGGAAAGCTGCATGCCTATTGGTTGATGCCCTGCATTCCATTGTGATGACTCATGCCCAAACGTGGTAAACAAGGCAAACTAACACAGTAATACATTTGCTATAACACAGCCAAAAAACTCAAATAAAACCATTCTAAAAGCCTGTATCACAGAAATTTAAAAAACGCCTAGGGGTATGTGCCCACTGTACCCCCATACCAAATTTCAGGACCTTAGGCCCTAAAATGAAGAAGCTGAATCCATTTAAAAAATGGCAGGAGAAGGAGGAGAAGGAGGAGAAGGAGAAGAAACATCAGAAAAAGCAATATGGTTTCACCACACCACTTCGTGGTGTGGTGAACCCATAATTACAGATCTTACTGCTCCTCTTCTGAGCTTGAATCTGAAATGGGGGCTTACAACAAAGATTTTATTATCTTTCTGACACTTGTATGCCAAGATTATTATTTACAAAAATACATACAAAAATATTTGTATTACACAGAAAAAAATTGGGTGCACAGCTCCAATTTGGGTGCACTAAGGTGCACATATTTCAAGCCCTGGTACATGTACACTTTTCTTGCCCACTCAGTTATGTACACTGTATATTTGTGTAGGAGTAGTGACTAGGGGAGATACAGAAGCAGGCCCTGCAGCAATAATCTGGGCTCCCATACTGGGTCCAGGTCACTGTGTTGGTGTTTACTTATAAACAATGAAGCGTAAGTTGCGCAAAAAAGACAGGGTTCAGAAACTGTATGTTTACAACCACTAACATGATAGTTAAGCTAAGTACGGGTGACATTGTACGAAATTCATTTTTGGGAATAGGTGCACTGGTGCACCTCACCTAAAGAATTGGGTGCACAATTTTTTTTTGGTGCACCATATAAAATAGAATATCATCAAAATTACTGGTATGTTTCATTTCTAAAGAAAAGTACTACAACAATGATATTATTTTTCTGAAATTTTGGGTGCACTGGTGCCCCCACAGGAAAAAAAGTTAGTTGCACAGCTGTAAATTTGTGTGCACTAAGGTGCACACACACCCAGTATTTCCAGCCCTGTTGTATATAGTAGCAATATCTGTGGCACTGCTGAGAACTGCCACTGTAAATCAGAGTTAAGGTCGCCACAGTTACTGAACAGAAATTGGTCTGGTGAATAAACTAAGGCAGTTCAGGGGTATTTTACTGGCAGAAACAGTGGAAACTTATCTTCATATCTGTTACAAAGATGTAACCATTGATAACATTATTTCAATATGCAGTCTCATCATTCCCCTGCTATCTACTATCCTGCCCCCCCCCCAAACTCACCCAGGGATCCACAACAGAATTTTATACAGGCAATTAGAGTTTGAGAATCTGTGCTTTCATCCTTGTGCACAGAATCAGGCCTAGGGAAAAAAATGTTGTGTTTCCTGTTTCCCAACCTACCCTAGAAAAACCTGCCGACGATAGACTTTTTTGAGGGTGGACCCCTCCATGATCTGACACCTGAGTGATGAAACATTGTACAATTGGTTTTTGAACATCGACATTGAAAATAGAATTGTCCTCGTGCAAATTTAACTTTGTTAAACTGCATTGTATTAAGTTGGATCCCTATTATAGATATCAACAAGGAGAAGTCGTAGACATCATCCCTCCATGAAATAGCTTGTTATTTTGTAATCGTTTGGTGTATTTCAATAGCAAACTCTATAACTGTTATAGAGTTTGCGAATATACTACTGGGGATGGTACCCAGGCTACATTTGCCTGTACATGTAGGTCAATGACCAGGCAAATGACCTGCAGACCAGACAAACAAGATTTATTTTCCTGCACTCTGTCTAGGGCCGGTAAAAATAGATAGGGCTGCCTGCCAGCTGGAGGTATAAACAAAAACACTCTGTCCCAACTTTTGGGTCAAACAGACCATCCTATTATGAAGTAGGGGTGAAAAAGTGAAAATCCTTTAAATTAAGTCAATAAAAATATGACGACAACCTGCTAATGCACTCTAAAACACAAAGAGACTCAACAAC